CTTGCAAAATGAATGTTTTTGCAATGCTTTGAATTTAATTTTCTGATTAAATTATATCCCTTTCTTTCCSCCCATATAATAGAAGCAGCATGTACTACTTGTACTTTGGCACAGTACAAAACAGAAATAACTTTCAAATTGAACTTTTTCTGCAACAGGGTCATAACACAGTGCTATTTCTCAGTAGTCATCTTAGGCCAACAGTTTCCTCTCAGGCTCTTCGGGTTTCTACCTCTCTCTGTTGTAAATTATTCAGTGTATTATTCCCAACAGACTGATTAAACCGCTGCTTATTGGTCAGATTAAATGACAGATTGCCACAGAATCCTCTTCCGCGATGATTTTGTTGCTGGTCAGTTCTGAAATGTGTGGTTAATGCTCTTCTGGCGATTAGTGGTCTTTCACTGGAGTTTTCAGGATCGTAATTTATATGTATAATAAAGAGACTTTCTTCAAATGGTCAGTATGTATAGATAGGGCCTGCAATTTAATGTCCTGATCTGTAATAATGTAGCTGCTCCATTAAACTCCACCTGGAAGAGCACTCTGTATTAAACATCTTTAATGTATGTAATTATCTCGGTTAGCAAATTTTTTAGRTTTGTTTTTTAAGCATTAATTTTAAGCTGTGCTCAAGCATGCTTTGCTCTCCTCGGATTGGCATTTCTTTATTTAAGGAGCAAATTTAACACAAAGCATGGCTTTGAGAAAGCTGGCTGCTTTCCAGATGTCTTTTATTTTTAAATATTGATTATTAACTTGAGCATTTTCCCATTGTGTGCCTGTAGCTGTTACTAAGGTAACTGACTTCTCACTGAGTGTTCCCAAAACAAGTGCTAMCCTGTGGGGATATTTTACTGTCCTGCCATGAAAATTTGTCTTTGGATATAGAAATCTGCTTAGAAATATGACTCCAAGAAGGTCAGCAAGAACATGTTGGACTAGGAAGAAAACAGTACTTGACCAATATGAGTTTGTGGATGGATCCTGTACTTCTGAAAAGCAGGATTGAATCCTAATTTCCCTGGAAATGAATCCAGTATGGAAAACCTCCATGCCTACCCCAAACCAAACTAACTGCCTCCTCAAGATGACTTTATGTAGGTATTCGGTGTCTTTGCAAAGTCTCCTGGACAACATTCACATTTTAACTGATTGTTTTGGAGGTGGAAGTTTTGTAACTAAGATTGCTGAAGTTCCAAGTGGAAAAATTCTGGGGGGGGGGAAGATGAATTTATGCAATGCTGTGTCATTAACATTTTTGCTTGTAAAACTTACTTTCCTAAACCTAATGTGAGACTTCCTGCATGAGTGAAATAATAACAAGAGGGGGCAGGGTTTAAGCACACAGAGTCATGTCTCTTTGTCCATGTTGTTGTTTAAAAACACATATAAGCGGAGAGGATAAAGTCCAGTCTGCACAGTCACGTTACTGCACTAGCAATGTAGGTAAGTTCCTTGCAAAATCTGGCCTGCAATTTGTGCCATTCGCTTAAAAGAAAAAGTAATAGCGAGGCACTTGGAATAGCAGGTTGGTTTCCTGCCCTTGCAATTGTAAACTTGCTGGACCGTGCAAATTCATTCTTGAAATCTGTGTTTAATTGCAAAATTAACACTTTGTGATTGCATGTTAACGTGGCCACCTCACTGAAATGGCTTCCATGAACGGCCATGAACCTTTGCCTCCAACTTTGGCTCACTTAGATTAAACAGCCTTTTCCCAATAAATTTACAACAACGTGAATGTTAAATAAACAATCCCTAGAGTGTATTCCCAAGCGAGCATGTAATTTATTTTAAAAATGTAAGTGCCAGTGAGCAAAGACGTTCAAATTAAGTTGGAGTGAAAAACAACAAAATTATCTAAAAAATGTGATGTAACAGTGCAATGCCTAGGTGTTTTTTTTCTTTTTTTTTCTTTTTTTTTTTTTTTGGTTCGTTTTTGTTTTATTTATTTTTTTTGTTCTGGAGTTTGTGACATCCCTTTACTGCAACTTGTGAAGGTTCTGGCCGCTCTGCAAAAGCTGAATGATGCACGGGAGTGAATGCTGCGGATGAAATAAATGCTACAGCTGCCGTCTTGAACAAATCTGTAAACTACACCTTTGTTTATAGGAAAATGCTTGTAATAGTCAGTGTAATATTCAGCTGTGGATAAAAAGAAAAAAAAGAAAATTTGTGAAATAAACACTTCTAAAGAAATCGTGACTTTATCAAAAATGGGAATGTAAGTTTTTTTCTAATGTATATCATTTATATATTTTATGTTATAAAAATATAAATATATACTCTATATAAACATATATCACGCATATATATCACATATACACACGATATTTATTTTATATATATGTAATATAGGGCGAAGTTGCGAGTGGACAGGCCTACAGGTCCGCAGTTGCCAGGCAACAGCCACGCGCCGCCCTGCGTTTCCGCAGCCGCCGATTCCCCGGAGCGCGCGCCGGCTGTCGAAAGAGAAGGCCGAGGAAAAAACAAAAGAAGAGACAAAACCTGAAATCTAAAATAAATTACAAAAATAAAATACGTGCTTTTCACCTCTACTGCCCGCGGCGCGGGTATCTCTCGGCCCCACCCCGCGGCGGCGCGGCGAATTCGCGGCTGCGGACGCGCAGGGTAGCGGGGGGCGGTGGCGGCAGTGGCGGCTGAGGCGGCGCGGCCATGGCGCTCCTGAGGGGTGAGGCGCGACCTGGCGGAAAGGGGAGAGAAAGGGGCAAAAAGAGGAGGAAAAGGGGCAAAAAAGGGGGTCCCGGCTGCTCAGCGTGGCCGTGGGGAGGTGTCCGGTGGCTGCCCCTGAGGGGAGGCCGCGTTGGGGCTGCGCTGCTGCGAGTTGTCGCCGCTGTGGGGTGGCCGGGGCGGGCAGTTTAAAATAACAACATGAATGTGCTTGTATATCTGTTAATTAAACACGTCTGCRTGCAAAAACCTAGAAAATTTTATGTGTAAAGGTTCCTTTTGCTGTCGTCTGACAGTTGGCTCTGCTGGCAGCAATAGCGCAGGATAAAGTCATTTTATAAGTTCTCCTGGTTCCTAAGTTTTCCATGTTAAAAATACTTGAGGCTGTAGGCGCTTTAAATTTTGTGCCTCTTAAAAATAAGACATTTGCCACCTACTTAGCTTGCAGTACTTAATACCTACTTTGTTTAAAAAACAAACATGAAACTTACTGACATGGGTATTTTTTCATATTTTGCAGTGTTCTGCTACTTGCCAAGTTGTCTAAATAATAACAGAAATCATGGCTTGAAGTTCAGCAATGAAGGGCAGTTTTGGCACCATTTCAGTGTTTTGTTTTGCTCTACAGAGGTGGATGGTAGAGGGGACAGCTTTGCCTGTTTACTTATTTGATCTTTGTTTTTGGTGCCTAATTCAGGATTTTTTCTCATATCTTGGCACTGTGTTTTTCATGCACTGTTCTTGTGGCTTAATTTTTTGAGGTTAATGGCTGTTTTTTAAATGTTTAAAATAGGATTTGACCACTACTTTCATATGAAGTGTTGAGGAGTTAGTGAATATTTCAGTTCTAGATAACTAAATACATTAACTAAGTAATGACCGTAAACAAACCCGTGTTAGCAGATGTCTTAAATCAAATGTATTGCAAGGATTCAGGGTGACCTTTGCTCCATAGCCCCCAAAGTTTCCAGTGCTGCTCTGCATGTTTTTCATAGCAGTCTGCTCTCCGCTAGTGTATATCAGCTTGGAAAATAGTGATGACCTTGGGAATCTTAGAGTGGTAATGGRTGTGAAAGAGCCTCCTCCTCTCAGCCTTTCCTGCTGTTCTTTCATCCTTTCTTGCTCAGGACTTGAGCTACCCTTTGCCCCTTCTGGTATGCAGCTGTTCCACGGAGGGAGTGGTGTTTGTAGGTCTCTCCTATCAAGCAAAATCAGGCTCTTGAGTAATTCCCCTCATCACTTCAGCACAACTCCACACTAGAAGCAGTTGTGCTTGTTCCTCTGCCCCAGGTAGTTCAGCCTTTAGTCTGTAATTGCTGTTTTATTGATCCACCAGAAAGCAAATCTGACCACAGGAACTGATCTAAATGAAAATTAGCCCCTCTCTCTCTCTCTCTCTCTCTCTCCTGCTTCTGAATTTCTTTCAGCTACCTCGGTGGTCTGGAGTAGTTTTTTGACCTGCAGTGCTGTTGCAGAGAAGTGGGTTGCAGTGAACAGCCTAGTGAAAGAGAGGGAGATAAGTGTGAGCGTAAAAGGAAGGTATAAAGTAAATTCCACCTCCAGACTGATTACAACACTGTGTAGYTGATTCAGCAAATAACATAGATAACCAACCACCTGGCCAAAAAGGAAGAGCAAGTTTGATCTGTTTTTCAGTGGCCCTGCAAAGCCTTGCAACCAGGAGAAGGAGGGAGAGAAATCAGGCCTATTGATACATATATTAAAAAAAAATGTTGATAATGTTTAATGAGGAAGTAAGCTTGTAGTTAATAAAATACTTATGGAGTTTCACAGGTTGTTTAGTAGTAGTTTCTAGCCCACATGGTCTTCCAAGGGCATTCATTCTGTGTTTCAGATCCCAACACTGTGTTCCTATCCTTGCCAGCAGAGCAAGTGTGACCTTCACCCATTTGGAAAGGCCCCTTCTGTAACTCATGCAGTCTGGGCTCCAAACACATGAGCAACAGAGGGGAGCACCCTCTCTCTGCCAAACTAGCCGAAGAGTTTGCATCGCCCAGATTGCAGAAAACAGCCTGAAGGCAACCCTGTGGCATTCACAAGTAGCATAAGGAACAGGTGTTTTGCTTTAGCTACTTTCGCATCCTTACTTATCCCTATAGTGTTGCTTAAAATAATTGTAGATGTTCTYGTGGCAGCAGCAGGGAAGAAGGGGGCGGGTGAGCTCTGCTGCTCAACTGGGCGAAAGTTCACAGGCTGCCTCACGTGGCAGGGAGCTGCTGTGCCAGATAGTCCAGAGGTCTTTGGCTTGGTTTAAAGACAATGCTGARGCTCTTTCTGACCAACTCGTTTATTCATGTGTGCCTTGCACGGGCTCTTTCTTTCTACTGAATGCTGTCTTTTCTCCTCAGAAACTGGAAGGCAGGTGCCAAGACAGTTTAGATGATCTATATCATTATCAAAGTATCACTGTGCTTTTGATTATAGAATAYTTTTGCTCTGAAGTTAAAGGAATCAAAGTTAAAAGGGAGCTTAAATTTTACTCTGTGTGAAAACTATGTCAGTGTTTACATTTCAGAATATAAGCCTGTGATTACATTTCAGAATATAAACCAGCAATGTACTGTAGGATGAYAGAACTTGTGTTTTCCAAAAGGCCTTTTGTGTTTTTTTCCTTAACCAACAGATTATATCACAGTTGCTCATTATAGCATTTCATGAATCCCACTCTGATGCTTTTAGTACAATAACACTGAAGTCTGGTATGATATGGCAGCCTGCTTTGTCTGCTCTATATTCAAACTATTTTTTTTCCCTTTTTCTGTTTTTTTCCCCAAACCTATTCTTGAAAAAGAGTTATTCCCAGCATCTTCTCAGCTTTTCCTTCTGCCCACTGATTCTGTGTAAAGTGCTGCTATAACCTTGTCTTATCTTGAAATGTTGTTCAAGAGGCTCTTGTGAATTATTTGTTTGAGGGCAACCTGCTGATTTTATGCTTGGCTTAGTTGCTGTGTCTGCTTACCTATACAAAACCTTTTGATTCATTTGCTTTGCCACAGGTCTGTCTGATAGCTGACATAAATGCAAATAAAGGAACTTAGCTGTCTTCTCCCCTGTTACTTCCTTACGGATAATCCTTGCTTGTGTTGCAGGTGTTTTCATTGTTGCAGCGAAGCGAACTCCCTTTGGTGCCTATGGAGGTTTGCTGAAGGACTTCACAGCCATAGACCTGGCAGAACACGCTGCCCGGGCGGCACTAGCAGCCGGCAAGGTCCCTCCTGAGATCGTTGACAGTGTCATTGTTGGCAATGTCATGCAGGTTGGTGACATGGAAAATGTGCTGGTCGTTGATTATTTCAGTCATCTATTTCAGTGTGATTCTATAGGTAATCACTTCTGATTTGCAGCCAAGAATAATCAAAGGGGTGAAAATGGAATGAATGAGCATTCATAGTGTAGTGTTTCCTGCTCGTATTTAAAGGACTTAAATTTGTGGGACTTGATTTGTGACATTACTGGAGCAAGATTTATCTTCCAGTTTTAGTTCCTCAGAGCCAGTTTAAAGCAGGACAAGCTGATCTTCTCTAAAATGTGGATTCAGTAAACCCTGAGTGGCTAATCCCTGGTTCATTTTTCTTATTTTAATGAGTTGAGCCATGTAGCATAATGAACAGTGAGTTGTCACTGGGTTGTATAAATCCTTTTCTTTCTGGAGACTTAACTGGTTTGAGCCCCTTCCCATTGAATTTTCTCTGTAGATTTTTTTAAGTGACTGTAATTGCACTTTGATCTTGAAGGATACGTGTCTTAACTTGCAGAAGCATTTGGGGAATTGTGTCTTTCCCAGGGGGCTTGTGATGTGGATGCRATTGAATGCATTGTGCCAGCACTGCAAAACTGCAGATATCCGCATATCTAGATCAGAGAATAGAATAGAATAGAATATTTAAGGTTGGAAGGGACCTCTAGAGATCATCTAGTCCAACCTTCCTGCTCAAGCAGGCACACCTASMGCATGTGGCACAGGGTGGCATCCAGGCGGGTTTGGAAGACCTCCAGAGTAGGAGACTCCACARCCTCCCTGGGCAGCCTGTTCCACTGCTCTGTYACCCTMACAGTRAAGAAGTTGCTCCTCASCTGGAGACGGAACTTCTTRTGCTTCAGYTTGTGGCCATTACCCCTCGTCCTATTGCTGGCCACCAGTGAGAACAGCCTGTCCCCTTCCTCCCTGCATTCTCCCTTCCTGAACTTATACATATTRATCATATCCCCTCTGAGCCTTCTCTTCTCCAGGCTTTGTTTTAGAGGCTTTGTTTTAGGCAAGAAAGCCAAGAATGTTCTTCTGTTTTGTTTTGTTTTTTGACTTCACCATATTAGGTACTGATATATTGCTTGCAGTATTTACTGTGTTAAAGGTGCAGAAGAAACAAATGCCAGAGAAATTTCACAATAAATGAACAAGCATATTCTGTTCCTTCTTAAGAACTTTCAGCCAAAAAAGGTAGCTTTTGTTTTCCTTTTACAGCTACCAGCTGAGCTTCTTTTAGTCAACTTTTTATTTTTTTGTAAGAATTATCTGTGGTCTAGAGTAGCAGACAAACTGCAGCATTCACATCTCACCTAATGTTTTCACATAATAGATAATATTTTTGCTAATAAAAATGTATCTTTTCACATTGAAATAAAATTTCTTTTCCCTTGCTTCATATCTAGCTCCTCCACCCCAGTAGATTTTCTTTTAGTGATGTTTTGTAAGTATTATTTAATTAAATATAAATAACAATGACCATTTTAAATCTCCCTTCTTCAGCAGAATAGTCTTGGGTTACATGTTTCTTCTGAACTTCCATTTCAGATAGCTTTGTGCTCAGAACTATGTCTTAATAATACATGTTAGCTTGGGCCATGGTCCCCTGGAGCAGTTTTCTTTTTGGAAAAGATCCATAGCAGGGTTGTTGTAATTCAATCTTTTGGGCTCTTCCTGTGCTCTAGTCAGTCATGTGCCGACTCAGCAGTCAAAGTGCAGCTGCCAAATCAGTTTTGTTTTATGCYATGATGAATTTTGGCTTATTGAAGGAGTGGATCTAAAACAGACTCATCTGTGTATGGTACAAATAGAAGGGTGATATAACCATCTTTGAAGAAGGAATTTGATTTTGCTGTTAGAACAGAGCTGTGTGCATTGAAATTTCAGATATATATGATACTTCACGAAGCGGAGATGAAACAGCAATGCTGTCTTTTCTCATTGCCTGTTTTTTGGAGGGCCTATCCACATTAACCTGAGCAGTTTTAATTTATCTTGATATAATAATTGCTTTCTAGTTCATATCTGGTCTTTTGTCATCCCACTGTGTCTAAACTGATTTGAAATGAAGGTATAAGCAAAACGTAAGATATTGTTAAGTCACAGACTTCAGGATCTTTCCAGCTGCAGTACTTTTTTTTCAGTATGATGTCTGACTCTTAGGACAGAGTTTCTTTGAAATACATGTTTTGACATTGGCCTTTGATCATATAGGGAGGTGTTTTCTGAAATGAGTCAGAGTGTTTCTTATGAGTAGTAGAATTGCTGTTGAGCAGAGAGCTCTCCTTTCAGTGATTTAATGACAACATTCACATTTTTGAGCAAGACTTTTACTTCCCAAAGAGATAAAGAGCCTAACAAAATCTCTCCTTTGTTTTATCTGCAGACCTCCTCAGATGCTATTTATATTGCAAGACATGTTGGTTTACGTGTGGGAATTCCTATCCCGGTTCCAGCCCTCACTGTCAACAGACTTTGTGGCTCTGGTTTCCAGTCCATTGCCAATGGATGTCAGGTAGAAAGCCCTTTCTTTCTATATTTCTGCATTAGCTTTAGCCCTTTGTCACATTGTTAACTTGAGAGGAGAGACTTGTTTGGAAACACATAGTGTGTGTTTGGGTGAGTATTATCATGGATTTTTATTTACCGCTGGTCAAGACTTGCTGTTGTCCTGCATGTTTGTGTTCAGTAGTTCAGCTAGCACAGCACTGATTTTGTGGATGGTTTTAGAAAACCATCATTGAAGTTATTTTGAGTTTAATGGAAGGAATGCAATAAGTGCTAACTCAGTTATGCAGCAGTTGCATTCTGCAAGTGCAGTTGATTGGTTGTTAAGTGTTCTTGCAATCAAATCTCTTTGTTCATTTTGTCACTAATGCTTTGTTTTTCGTAAAAATGCTGATGTGAGCTCTCTCTGCTGATCACAGAGAAGTGTTGCTCTTGTTTTCTATTTTTAACACAGTATTTAYTCTCAGCCAAAAAAATACCTTTTACTCTATTTTCAGAAAAGAAACAGCACAATTTTTACTCTAATAGCAATTAATCATTATGGTGATTTTTTATTTAGTTTGATTGGTTGGTTGGTCAAGGAGGAAAGAATCTATGAAAACTGAGGTTTTTTTTTTTTGTAAATATTTGAGCAGCCTTATAGTTAAAAAAAAAATCTGTTAGCTGGAGAATTATTTCAGATCTAATCCTCTAGAGAAGAATGTGGAAAGCAATGCAGAGTTAAAGTTATAAGTTTACAATAATATTCACCTGGCTGTTCTTTCTAATGATCTAGAAAAGTCTAAACATACAAGGAGAATTAATCTCTGTTTAAAAAATCAAAATCTTTTGGGAATTTTTGATCACCTACATTGAAAGAGTACTCAAAAGTTCCTTTCCAAATTCAATATTTCCTCAAGATAGCTAATGTCAGCTATAGAAGTTATTAAGGAATAGTAAATACTAAGTTTTTTAATATTAATTAATTTACTATTTAGTAGTTATTAACTAGTTATGTCAAGTGCGTGTCAAGGTATTTTATCTGCTTCCATTCCACTGCAGAAATATTCTGGTTAAGTGGATCATTTTAAGGAAGCAATATTTTAAAATGCCAGGACATGCACTTGGGAGATAGGGATATGCCAATGAGTTGGGCCCAGTTTCAGATTTTGAGGTTTGATTTCCTTCAGAGAGGATTGCATGTGGAGAGAAAACAGGTTACTCCCGCCCCCCCAAAAAAATTGGTTTTATTGTACTAATATTAAAAAAAAAAAAAAAAAAAAAAGAGGCCAAACATCATTTAACTCAACCATCTCAACCATGCAAGAATGGCAGAGCTTAATAACTTTCTTCTTTTCTCCTTAGTCCTGTCACAGACAGGTACCCTTGTTCTCTTCTTTTTCTCATGGATATAATCCTACTGCATTGACAGCTGGGTGAATGAGCACATRTTAAAGGTGGCAGAACCCTCTCTTAATAGAGAGGTCTATAGGTCTATACCCTTCATAAATATATGCATAAATAATTTTGTGTGTGGCTTTGCAGGTGACAAAGTACTTTCCTAAGCAGTTGTTACTGTCTTCTGAYAATTGCAAACTAACTGCTGGATCTGTTTTGTTTTTGTGTTGACAGGAAATCTGCCTTAATGACTCAGAAGTGGTTCTCTGTGGTGGAGCTGAAAATATGAGCCAGGCTCCTTACGCTGTTCGAAACATTCGGTTTGGAGTCAAATTAGGAACAGATATCAAGGTTTAATATTACCCTCTTTTTCCTTTGAATAAAGTCATATTTACAGAGCAACAGAAATATTGGACACATAAGCGCTGTAGTCTTGTAAATGAAGTCATTGGAGATAGATCCAAATTCAGTTGATAAAGCATTTAGCAAGTATTGAGACATTAAAAAAGCAGTTCAGGTAGTTTTTGTTAAGAATACCATTTTTTCTAAAGTTTTCAAAAATATATCTGAGTTTGTGAAAACTATATATGAATTCCTGTCCCGTGTGAAATGGATCATTAAACTCCTGCATACAAAACTTAATTCACTTGGTATATTCCATCAAAGTAGTGCATATATAACATAAAAACTTCTCTGTTGTCAGAGGGTGAGATATAGAGGCACATAAAGAGTTTAGGTAAAGGTAGTAGGGCTAGCGRTGGAGCGTAGACTGGTAGAGAACACATATGCCTCCGAGTTGTAAGCATCTTTCAATTTAAACCTGAAAAACTGGAGTTAAATGTATTGACAGAGAAATTATTCTACCAAAGAAGAATTCTCAGTGAATACAGTGGAAAATTTGCAGAAGGGAGCATTTCTGCCGTGATAATTACTGTTTACTCAGCAGGTCTTAACCAAATCAAACTCTCAGATTAGGAAATCAGTATCTTTAAATATTTCATCTTTTTTTTTTTTTTTTTAATTTTTTTTATTCTCCTCTGCACTGTTTTCACAATGTGAAATATGTTAGACTACCCTTCCAGTGAATCCTCTGTGGCACTGCGACAGCCTCAGTCTTGGCAGAAAGCCCCTTAAAAAGTTGCTGGTCACAGTCAGCTTCCACAGGTGACATGAGATCCTTATTGTGAAGATAACTGAATTACACAGTTAGACATGTAAGAGTGATTTGTCTTGGAGAATTGTACTTGTCAGAGACAAATGTGGGACACCTAGCTGGACTGCTTGGGCATGCCTTTATTAGGTTAAGTGAATTTAAAATTTGCTGTTTTCTCATGACACCTTTTACCCACAGAAAGTTTTAATTCAAATGTGGTGGAGATTTTAACTGGCATTAGAGGAAGAGCTAATGAGTCAATAACTTGCTGTGATTTTTCACACTTCCTCACTGTTCATTCTTGCTACCAGATATGTTTTCTCATAGCTCATTAGTAAGTAATTCATATAGCAGTGTATATTCATATGCACTGAAAAACTAAAAAACATAGGCTTTTCCCAAACCTGTTAGAGTGACAATATAAATGAAAGGAGCTACACTAGGACAAAACATAGAGTAATTAAAATAACACACAAAGTCTTACGTGCACCTTTGCTTTGTGTTTGTTCTAATTAAAGTGTCTATAGGTAACCTGACTTAATTTTGCAAAGTGACATTGGCTTCTGAGAGGCTAGTGAGTAATTAAAAGCTACTAATGTTAAAATTACTGCATTATTACTGCATATTAAATGTTAAAATTATTACTGCATAATAATTTTAATTATGTCCAGTGCAGATGGAAGACACGATGTGGTCAAGTCTGACTGACATGCACGTTAAAATACCTATGGCAGTTACAGCTGAAAACCTGGCAGTAAAATACAACATCACACGGGAGGACTGTGACCGATACGCAATGAAAACACAACAGAGATGCAAAGCTGGTTAGTAATTCCGGGAGTGGGATGTTACTTGGTATCAATTTCCAGTCTGATTTTTGTAATTTTAAAATCCTTTAGTGTGTGTGTGTGTGTGTGTGGTCTTTCAGTCTCCTTGATAAAACACATGACTATAGACGTCAAAGATTGTTAAGATGGTAATAGCAGTGCCACGTCACAGGTCTGTTCTTCAGATCCTGGACCAAACGGAGCTCCCTTAGTGGCGGGAAGAGAAGAGGCCATCACCTGCTTCTAAACAGTTTGGGGAATTATTTAAAATAGTAGGCAGCAAAACATGATCTTATTTTAAATTTAATTTTATTGTGGCGAAATGTATGTGATCTTATTCAGTAAATTTACTCATTTTTGTGACAACAGCTACCACTGTGTGAAGTACTGAGGTCGCCTCTAAAACCTATACTAGGATACATGGCTGCCTTAATCTTGGTATCTTATAAGGGGATATTCCCTTTGTTCTGCCCAAACAGGAACATTGTTTCCCTCTTTGGTGGTAGTTGTGTGTTGCTGGTAGGTGTGATGCCACGCTGTCCTATAAGAAGTTAGTGTTGTTCCCCTTTGTTTTCTTTTCAGCCATACAAACTGCATTTTGCTTTGAACACAAAAGGGTTGCAAAAGATGTTATATGAACTGAGTGTTTTCCTGTTCCCCACAATCTACTGAGGAGTCAGATGTAGTCCCAAGTCATAGAAGTAGTGTATCTTGCAGAACATTTCTCTATCTCCTGAATAGTGAGATTTACAAAGGCAAAAAAGTAACATTTTAAAATCCAAAATTGTTCTGTATACACAGACCAATGCGTCTTGGATGGCCTGGTGTATGTAGTTGTTTTGCTTTACTGGCTATATCAATAATTAATCAAATCTTTATAAGAATGTTGTAAACACAGCAGATAAGTAATTCACTTTGAAGTCTTTCTGTTGAAAACACAAGTGTATTTTTACCTGGGAAAAGCTCCTGAAAGTTCAGAGAAGTAAGGTAACTTTGCTATGGTGGTATTGTTAGCTGTAACATTTTAGTGTAATCTGCCTTTTGATACAAAGATACTGTAATTCATGTATCTTCGTTTGTCCTGTGAGACAAGTAACCCACTCCAGGAGGGCTGAAATTTGAATTGAATTGAAAATACTGAGTAAGTGGAGTGTCTTATCAGCAGGCTGAGGATAGAGATCGACAGAGAAGATGTGGCTCAGTATTTTTCCCCCTTCCTATCCAAGTGGAATTTCTACTTTCTTGACCCTTGGAAAACTACAGAACAATAGAATAAAACAGAATCATGGAGGTTTGTAGCAAAAATAAATCTAGTCATTAAAAAAAAAGTCAAGTTGTTTAAACCTGAAATAGCCCTGTAATATTCAAGATTTTTTTCAGAGAATTTTGAGAGTGGTTTTGTATGGCTTATACCAGTTTCTAAAAAAACAAACAGTAAAACCCCAACTAGTCTTTTTAAACAAAATATAAGTTTAAAAAGAACTGTTCCTGAACTCCTGGTTCAAACAGAGAGAAACTTATATATACATGAAAATGAGATTATTGGTCATTCTGGGCAATTACACACTACTGTTTTTGTCACAGGTCTTTTTCTTTCCTTTTTGTGGTTGTAGCTTCCGATGCTGGTTACTTCAATGAGGAGATGGCACCAGTTGAAGTGAAAACAAAAAAAGGGAAAGAAAGCCTGCAAAAGGATGAGCACCCGCGACCCGAGACCACGCTGGAACAATTGGCAAAACTTCCACCTGTCTTTAAGAAGGATGGAACAGTCACTGCTGGGAATGCCTCAGTGAGTATGTCGAAGTCTTGGATTGCGAGGTGTCACCTCTGAAGTTCTCTAGGCTTCTTATTACTGTACTTCTCCCTTCCTGAGCAATCTGTAGCTGTCAGAGTTGTCTTTTGCCAGGAGGGCTTTCTGATTTTGCCACTGAATTGCAGCACGCAACTTGTCCCTGGGTGACTATTCCAGTCCCTGGATGCTGAGAGATCCTTCAGCCTGCTCCTATGACCTAGAATACTTTGTAGTGTCACTGCCCTTTTGTCAAGACATCCACATTTTTTTCGTCAGCTTTGGATATGTATGTAATTGATGTCTGCTCTCTCTGTCTATGGCCCTGCTGCAATTAACTATTCTTTCCTTTAGGAGTTACTGAACATTCGCTTTACAAATCACTTAGATGTTTACTGGGCGTATTGCTGCTCAGCTCTGTACCACACTTAGTATCCCCTGTGGTCCAAAACACATTTTTCTCCTACTTAGTGTAGACCAGGAGTTTAGCAGCTTGTCCCTAGGGACTTTTCCCTTTATAGGCATTATCTTAATCAGTTGATTGATGGGTTTGGGGTTACAGTCTGAATGCCTGCCTGAAATAGCTGATAGCCACGCCGAATACTGGTGTCTAAAAAGTGACTTTTAATTTTAAAACATATACATTATTCAACATCAATATTGTCTTTACAAGTCTACAAAAAGATGTTTCCAGTGCAAGGGAGACTTTTAGTGGCAAAAAAGGTGGCTTACTTTTCTAAAATACTTAAATAAACATCTGTATTTACCTTTGTTTCACAGTCCACAGAGTAGCAGAAGATTGTGGCTTGATAAACTAATACAGTTGTGTATTAAAAGTTAATAACAACTGCTTGATTCCATTCTTAAGAAGAGCATACTTAGTTTAAAGTGTTTTTTCCACTGAGAATGATTTTCTCTTTTATTCCCAGGGTGTGTGTGATGGCGGTGGAGCAATCATCATCGCCAGTGAAGCAGCACTTAAAAAGCACAGCCTCACTCCCTTGGCAAGGATAGTAGCTTATCACGCATCGGGCTGCGACCCTAACATAATGGGCATTGGTAAGCTGCAATAAAGCACATATTTATTTGTGAAGTAATATTCAAATATTCTTGTGGGGAATAAAAATGGTTAAAATATGCTTGTGGGGAATAAGGGAGGGAGGCTGCAGTGTGCTGAGTCTGGTAGTTCTGATAGAGACACTGTCCATCTCTCTCTTATCAGTGTGGCTTTTACCACAGAGTGCTATGTATTTTGACTTAYAGGGTATGTGCAATGACCTGTAGGTGTTAATACTGAACTACTGAACTATACTCTCTGCCATGCATCATTTTTTTCACTTGCTCTCTCTGTTACTCAGTAAGTCAAAACAGTAGAGGCTCTTCCTTTCTTTTTTTAAAAGACTGTTTTCTCTTCCAATCCACCTGTGTTTCCCAGAAGCTTTAAATCCCATTCTACATGTATAACTTTGAGTTGTCTTTCTCACTTCTTGCTGTGGGAGTACTGACTGTGTATCCCTTTCAGCTGCTACTCAGTTGTGCAGTGAAGAATGCAGTCCAGTAAACAACTTGAGGTGTTATTTTGGAGAATCAACTGCTTTTTCCATTAGCCCCGTATTTTATGCTTTCTAATCAAACTGTTAAGTGCAAATGAACCCTCAAAGCTGGTCCAGACACCCCAGGATTTTTGCCCTATTTTCTGTTTGTAGACAGCATTGTATTCCAGCATTTCTTTTCCCTTCTGCCAGAGCAGCAATTGTTGGCTGGTTTCATGTGGCCGTGGAAATGCAAATGAAGCTTTGTCGGGTTTGCTTTCTTGTTCAGGCAATCCTACCAACCCAGCTCTTCAAGGAAATGTGGAGGGAGGGTTTCTTTCCCCAGACTTCATGCTTCCATTGTGCTTTCCAAACTAGCCCATTCTTCCCAGGTCAGGCAACTCTTTTAGCCTGTTTAAAAACTTCATAAATCACATGGAGAAATGGTTAGTATCGTAACTCTTAAACAGCACAGCTTGTCTGCAGCTACTCAGAGAGTCCAAATGAGATTCATAGACATGACTGAAATGGATCTGAGAACAGGGGAGTTTAGAGTTGCATATTGATAGTTTTAGGGAGCCCTTCCTCATGGTTTCTGGTGAGAGAATTCATTAGCTTAAAAAGTCTCCTTAATGGTCTGTATATTTTCTGTATGAGATCTTGCCATTACTCTGCCACATACGGGTGTGCTCAAATCAGTATATAACAAGATGCATAAAAGATCTAGTGTTAAGCCTGTATCTTTCTCATGATCCACTGAACTTTGAACTGGGCCCCTTTATCTCTCACAGAATCACAGAATGCCTGAGGTTGGAAGGGACCTCTAGAGATCATCTAGTCCAACCCCCCTGCTTAAGCAGGGACACCTAGAGCATTTCCTGTCTCTTCGATCAGTCTCTTGTTTTTATTTTCATTTTTTGATTTATCAATACCATTTTTGTTACTGAGATGCTTAAATAGCATTTTTGGGATTGTTTTCATTCCCTGCTTGAGCAGGAGGGTTGGACTAGATGATCTCTAGAGGTTCCTTCCAACCTTAGCCATTCTGAGATTCCTTTTTTTTATGATCAGCTCCTATCTAACATCATGATATCTTTGTCCTGCAGGTTGCATACCTAAGTAGCCCTTTCAAATTCTCTTTAAGTGTCTCTTTCACTAGGTAGCTCTGCTTTGAGAATGAACTCCCCTAGTGAATTAGATAAATTTGCAGATGTCGTTTTTTTTCCAGAGGATGATTTTATTACCCAGCTCAGTTAATGCTCTCCAAAAACACAGATTCACAGATTCACAGAATATTTAAGGTTGGAAGGGACCTCTACAGATCATCTAGTCCAACCTTCCTGCTCAGGCAGGCACACCTACAGCATGTAGCAGGCACACCTACAGCATGTAAAAAACGTTAGTGATTTTGGTTGGTTGGTTTGATCTGGGTCAAAGGAATTTATTTGTTTATTTTTTAAACTAGAAGGCTTATGGGTAAGTTGTATTTAACCCTCCAAATCAGTAATCCTCATAAGGTAAACATATCCCACCAATCTTCAGAAATCCTGTCTTTTTGTTTTTATTTTGTTAATTTGGAAGTAGCAAGTGGTAGAGACTGAGGCAAAGACTCCTGGAGAGGAGAACACCTCAGAAGAGTCTTGAGATTGTTTTGGTGACTGTAAGTCCTCTTGATTTAGAAGTTATGTGTTTACCAACCTAGCTGTGCAGAAGTAATGACATTTCTAATCTACCTGTCCCTGTCTGGAGAAAGATGAGAGAGAGGTAGGAGTTTTCTTACCACCTAATAAAGCAGGTGATGGGCATATCCAGAATTCATTGGCTCAGTTAAGGGTCATGAGGTAGGTAAGCTGATGAGGCTTTATGAGGCTATCCTAGGAATGACATTTTTGAAAGCCTTTTCCTTTTTTTATTAATTGTGCATACATTTCCCAAATAGGCCCTGTACCTGCGATTACTGAAGTCCTGAAGAAGGCAGGACTGACCCTGAAGGACATGGATTTGGTGGAGGTAAGGAGGTTAACAGGGACGGGGAGGCTACTGTCCACCTTTAGAGCAGGAACATTCCACTTGCAATGTGCAGCCTGTCATTGCGAGGGAGGTGTTCCTGCATGCCCAGAGCTTGCTTGTCCCGACTCACATCCCTGCCTTCTGACCAGCCGATTTCTTCCATGCAGAAGATCTGAGGCACATGGAAACTGAAAATCATTTGAAAGCAAAACAGAAAGTATTCTCAGGTGACCTATGGTTACTCTATTGGCTGGATTATTAGTGTTTTATTTAAGGTAATTGAAAGGTAATTGATTTGTGAACAATGCAATTTTTTCGCTAGAAAAGTAGGCTCTTCACAAACACACTGTATCAGAATATATCACACTTTTTCTATAAAATAGGCTACGTATTTGAGCTGTGTACGTGTCAAGGATTCGAACTTAGAGTTGGTTGGAGTGGCAGTTTTTACATCATCCAAATACACCTTTAAAAACAGAGGATTTAGTATTTTTTACTTAAAACGTCCAGGAGAAGTGCACCTCATTCATCCTTGTATGCAAACATGCTGCTGAAAGCTACAGTAGAAAGTGAAGCAGGAACAGTTGTGTTGTTTCCCTGGTGTTTTAGGTGAATGAGGCATTTGCGCCCCAGTACCTGGCAGTTGAAAAAGTCTTGGGCCTTGACCCTGAAAAAACTAATGTCAACGGAGGTGCCATCGCAATCGGTCATCCTTTGGCTGCCTCAGGATCACGGATCACAGCTCATCTGGTTCACGAATTAAGGTATGTACACAGTTTTTCTACAGAGATATTTCATAGTCAGTTCCAGCTTTATAATATTTCTTCAAAAAATCAAGATTTTATGTATTCTGAAACCTCATCTTTAATGGAGTTTCTCTAACATTTGAATAGCTGATAGCTACTTCCCTTTCATAAAATCAGGAGATCTGCTATGGTCTTGTAAACACATCTCACTTTGGCTGTTACTTTTTCTGTGTAGGCGCCGTGGTGGGAAATACGCAGTCGGGTCAGCTTGCATTGGAGGTGGCCAAGGCATTGCTGTCATCATTGAGAACACAGCCTGAGGGATTCTGGAGACTTCACTGGTGCACAGATTCATAATTCCCCCCCAAAAAAACAATGCCTGTTGTGAAGATAAAGGCTCACTACCTCCCCTTCGTTTGGTGCCATTCCTGCAAGGTGGAGGAATGGCCGAGAAGTCTGACTTCTGAAAAAGAAAATTATGTTTCTCTAAGCGAATAAAGTGTAAAGCCAATATAATAGCCAATAACACCAAATAAAGTGTAAAGACATCTTACACTGATGAAACAGTTTCTAAAAACCTCTTTTCAATCAATGTAAATGCATTTCTGTAGGCAAAATTCTTTTAATTTCCTGAGGAAAATGCCTATCAGTCTTTCACCAAACCTGCCTTAAAATAGCAATACAGCTTTTTAAGCAAGTGTTGGTTTAAATTTTCTTCTCTCAGCTACTTGTGCTGCCTGATACATGTACTACTTTTGCCATGCAGAAAGGTGAAAATTTAATTGTAGACCTTCTGAAGTATACACTGATTGTAGGTTCATAATCTACAATTAATTGTAGATTATGTACATTGTAACTTGTACCCTGTTGCTTTGCAGGGGGAAAGAAAATGAGAGAAAGCTAAATTTTCCACTGTGCCTTCAAAAGAACAATAAATGGAAGTAAAAAAAAAAATAGAGCCTGATGGTTTTCTTAAAAACGCAAATTACTGTGAGAATTGTTAGTCAGTAAGTGTTATTTGAGATGCTGCTTTTCCTGACTGAGGAGTACTTGGTATTTACCAGGTAATTTGTGGAGAACTGACAAATCTGCAAGCCTTCCAAGACAGAGTGAGCTGCACGCAACTAGTGCTGTGTGGTGTCACTCATTTCTTGACTTCTTCTTATGGTAYTGTCCTTATCCCTCGGTCACCTAACACTTCTCATAGCCTGTACTGTGCTTTGTGGACTAGAATAGTAGCAAACACTTAATCTATACTGTAATATTTTTTTTCTCTTTCTCTATTCCCATCAAAATACTGTTTTACTGCAGGTTGTTCCTGCCACACCGCTGGCATGAGCTGTGAGGATTGTGAAAGAGATCATTCAAAACGAGACTGTCCAGCTTTGCAGGAAATTCAGGATATAGCAGGTATTGTTAGAGTTAGTTGAAGGGTGCTGATCCCTCTTTCTGGAATTTCCTACGGACACAATGTATTTAATATTTTCAGAGATCTTTTTTTTCCAAGACCTCTTCCCTGAGGAGCAACCATTTTTTTTCAGAGCTCATCACAGTGTAGGTACAGTAAAGAATAGGCCCCTTCATGCACTTAATTTTGCCCCCAATGTTTTCCCTTTTTATTACTCAGTGTTTTGAAATGCACCTTTAATTCCAGCCATGACAGCTGGAATTTGATCATCCTAAATAATTATGTATTTTCTTCAAAAAGCATCATGATGTTCACTCCTTTTTTTTCCAGGCAGCTTATTAATGTTATCAGCACAGATGATTGTACATCCTGCTAGTTACCTCTCTTTGCTTATATATCATACCAAGGTATATTCTGCTGTTTCCCAGCAATGTATAATATATACAACAGTAATTGTAGCATTATTATTATGCTTTGGGAAATGAAGATGACTTGCTGACGCTAGTTTGTATAGGAGAAATTAAAGCCTCCTAGAAGGAGCAGAAGATAGGGAAGGTTTAAGGAGAAAACTTATTTGTTGGGTGTTCCAAGTTTGTACAGGACTATTTTTGTATGAGTAAGCTATATTATAAAATATAAGGAAAGTGGGTTTTTTTGTTCCTGAAATGCATGAGAAAACACTTGTAGGAAGTATTCACTGTACTTGGAAAGCTTTCCARATTTGCTCATAAATGTAGTTCAACTTTCTACCGCAGGGAGGTGCATTGTAGACACCTTACAGCTCTGGAGCCAGTTAACTTTGAATTACTCGAAGTTTCAGGTCCARTTTTTGCCTTTAGTGAGTTTCAAACAGGCAGGTACCAATACACCAGTTCAAACCCTGCAGTGAATTTGCAGTGAATTAGAAATTGCATTTACAGTTTTACGGAGCAAATTCCAACCGCAGTTGGAGAGGACTCATTCAACAAAATGATGAGAGAAGTGATGAACCTGACTGAAGATTAAGAGACCAGATTATGTCTTTCCTTTGTCCAGAAAATGAGCTCATTAAACCTTAGCCCTAAGCAATTATATGGGGGAGAGAGAGAGAGCTAAAAAAGCAGGGAGCTCTGATGGGGCAGACTTACCTGCTGCCCAGCTTYTTAGATTACAAATTAGAAGTTGTATTTTGCTGCTGGTGGGAAGCCTAATACAGATGTGGTGGATTTTGTTTGTTTGTTTGTGTTTTAAAAAAGGAAAATAATAATAATCTTGAAGCTCCTACAAAGCATCAGCTTCAGGCAAGGTTATAGTTGTGACAAGTTCTTCCCTGCTCCTCAAATCCAGACTTTTTCCATGTGGTCRGAGGCTGTGGAGCTGGGCAGGGCTCCGTCTAGTCTCTCCTTGCGGCGTCAGTGCTGCCTGGCCGGGTCAGCCGGAGGGGACCCGASGGGGAATTAATCCTTCCCAGAGCTCGGGCTTGAATAGCAGGGCAGCAGTTTTCCCCTCTTCTGCTAGCAGCTCCGAGGGGGCAGCACCAGTGATGGCTTCATTAGCTTAAGGAGTCAACTGTGCAGAGCTGAGTTGAAAGCACCAGGCGGGTGGGCAGCTGAGCCTTTGAAACATGTATGTGATTGCTGGTCTGGGTTTTATAGCGGATAGTATTTCTCATGAAAACTGAGCTGAGAAGATGGAAAAATAGCCTTTTCCTAGGAAAAGGTTATTTCTGCTCTGCCTAGTGCTGTGGCRAGGGGGAGGTAATGCAGGGCAGTGGGAAAACGCAACTGCAAGCCTAAAAATAGACACCCTTTCAGAACCAATCACACCCTAGGAATTTGCAGTACATTGCTGCGGAAAGTGTAATCCAATGTAAATCACCAGCTTGTGAGATGTGAAGAATTTCATTGTGACTCTGTCCTGTGGAGACAAGAACAGAAGCAGTGACTCTGACAGTGCACATGTGATATAGGAGAATTAGCTTGGGGCTCTTCCTGTATAAGGATGTTCCCTTTTTGTCTTCCTCTAATTCCCTCTTCTGTCCTTGCTTCTGGGTTGCTCAGACACTGGTGCAATTAGGCAGCACAGCCTCCTGAGACAGCTCGAGCTAGAAAGATCACTAGATGTGCCTGGGTTGGAATGAGCCTCTCCAGGAGGTTATTGCAGATTTGGTGAAGTCATCATTATACCCCAGTCTAATTCTCAAGGTGTGTCACTAGAAAAAGGGGTTTTATGTGTTAGGAGATTCTGTGACTTGGTTTGAAGTTGTATGTGGGCGCCTGTGATTCTCTTATATTCCCCACTCATGGATCTGAGGAACATCTGCACAGCAGTAAGTAACAAGGGAGATTTGGAAAGCAAATTGCATCAGAAAAAAAGATGGTTTTAGGAGCTTCAAACCATTCCTTCCTCTTTTCACTGCTGCCCTGGTCCATCTTTTGACTCAATAAAGATGCCAAGGGCTGAACTGCAAATCTCCTCCCTCCCAGCTCTTGCCCACCACTTCCCGCAACATTTGTGCAGAACTTGAGCTGAAGTCAGTAGGATACAGGCTTTGGATCACGGCTGGAATTCAGGAGTGGAGCTGTTAGTTCAACTACTGTCTAAATGTAGAACAACAGGAAATATTTTTCCTGATAAATAACATCAGGTTAACAAAAAACATCAGGTGTTTTAAATGACTCCCTGCAACAGGTTGCTCATTAAACTACTGCAAATTGGTGATAAAGTCAGGATGGGCACCTGGTACTACCCAGTAGACTGGCACATGGCACATGGGTGTCAAAACCTGGCATGCTTTAATTACTTCTCCTAGGAAAAAAAACAGTTAATCAAAGTCTGGATCTGAGATTCATGACCCTGATCTCATCTTCCGTGCCCACTCTCAGGCTTACCCTGGTATCAGGTGTGTTAGATGCCTGTTTCCCAATGGGGACCTGAAGAGTCCTCTCCACATTGGCCAATAACAGGCTGCAGGTGGAGAAGACCATGGTGTGATGAGCACCTGACATTCAGATCAGCCACATGCAGCCTTGCAAAGTGGAGCAGCTGCTGATCTGCTTGTGATAATGAAAGGGCTCCAGAGAGCAAAGCAGGTAATTAGGGCTCTGGAGCCTCTGCCCTCAAGAAGGGAATTGTGGCCTTTGCATGTGCTGAACGGCTGGGGGCAGGTTTGTGATCATAGACCTGTTCTGTGCTATGCCTTGCTTCATCTTGGCCTCCTGCTTTAGATCTTGTACCTCTTTGTGCTGGAAAACCCCTCTGTCTGAGTGAGGTAAGAGAAGGTTGTTTTGGTGTGTGTCCTGTTCACAAAGTGTCCAAGCTGTTTGTCCTGTGCAGAGGTTTTATTCCTTGCATAAACTTGTGAGGCCAGTGGGAGGGTTTATCTGGCAGGCTTTTTATGTGATTCTCAGCTCTTTTAAGTGTGGATTTGGTGTAAGTTAAATCTTTTAAGATAACAGCAGCCATAAAAATCCTCAAGTTAGTGATATTTGCTCCACTACTGGGGAACTTGCAGCTGGAATGCACCCTGTTCCTTTAAATTCATGGAAGCTTGGAAGTGGAAAGCAAAACGTGAGCATTTTCAAGGGAAAATGATACTTCTATGATAGTGACCATATTTCTAAAAACATTTTCATCAGTTTATTGAGCTCCTTGTTAGATGTCCAACCAAAGGCTCCCAGCGTGTTAATGCAGTGCTGACAGCTTAATGGCCACGCACTGTGTGAGCTGAGACACTGCTGGCTTTTGCAGACGTCTTGGAGCTGTTCTCCTCTGTGCTGAGAAGGATTAAAGGACATCCCTCTGTTCCCATTCAGCTGGTACCTGAGCAGTGGAAGCCCAAATTAACATGTATACAAGAGTCTAAATTGCTGAACATGGTGGATGTCATCCAGTGTCAGCCCTAAGGCTATGCAGTGTGACTGCAGCTTGGATTTCGGAGTAAAAGAAATGTACCTACAGTTTTAAAGGACAGACAAGAGGGGAGCTGCCTCTCTTCTTGCCTGCCCTCCAGGGAGATGTTGGAGATGGTGATTCTTCTGCATGTGTGTCCCTTAAAGAAGTGAATTGCTTTGTGCTCAGTCTGGGCTGTATTTAGGCTCAGTCTTTAGACTTGCTCAGTGTCCTTGGGCAGCCAGTGCGAGCTGGTTATACCTGAGCCACAGTCTGCCCAACCACCACCTATGGGCTCTTGCCAACCAGAATGAGGCCTTCTCTAAGATATCCATCAGGGACTCAATATCCTTAGGTTGTTGCCCTCGGCCTAACAGTGCATCAGGTGGAGATCATGAGATGCCCTGGCACTTTCTCAACCAGCAGAGATTGGGGTGATCAAGAAGAGGTGAGACCAGCTTTTTAGCCCCCTAAAATGCCCATAATGGACATGGTAGCTGCTTGTAGCTCTCCTTGGAGAACTGCTAAGGTTGGACTGCCCATATACATCATCAGTCCATGTCTGCATGGTCAGAGCTGCCTCTGAGAAAGCCCAGCTGATGTTCACAGAGCACAGGGAGTCTTGAGTGTTCACTGTGCTCAGAAAGGTGGGATTTTTTGCATGTGTGAGAAACCTGATTGGAGTTGATAGGAGTTTTTCCATGCATTTCACTGGGAACAGGGGCCCTGTAAAGGTTTTTGAATGAGCTGGTGGGACTTCACAGTTCATATATGTTTACCATTATCCAAGAGATGCTTTTATGTTGCTGCTCGACTTAGCTTTCAGGCAAGTTGCACAAACAACTCCACACGTTTTGGTGTTGCAAGGGCAATAGATGAGGACCTAGGGACAACAGTGTAAGGAGGTGGGAGAGTTATGGTAACACAGTAGAAATGAAAAGTTTGGTGCAAAACATGGGTAATGACAGAATTTTACTCCAAATTTGTGTTTCCTCTTAAACTGAATAGAGGAGGATTTTCATTTTCACATCAGGACAAGGTGGTACACTGAATGACTACCCCTGTTTCTAGCATTTATAATATCCATACACTGCTCTTCCCTTATCTTCTTGTGGGCTGCTTGAAATCTCTGGAGGAGCAGCACATCTGGATGCGGCCACAATGATGGAACATAGATCTTGGAGCACTCTGCAGACCTTCCCAAGACCACAAGGGTTCTTCAGCAGCTCGTGTTTGTGCCATTAGGCATTGAAGACAGGCTGCGGTGAGCTCCTCACTGGCCTGGGCAGTGACACATCCACTAGCAGTGTGTTTTTTGTGGCTTACACCCCCCACAGAAGGCTCGAGTGTGGGATGAGTGACTGGTTCTAATTTTCTCCATCCAGGGAAGAAACGTCTGGAGCTGCAATTTTAACTTGGCCTCCTTGCAATGCTCGACCAATTGCAGCAAGCTGGCCACTTCTGGTATGCCTTAAACTTCCATTTAACTGTGTTTTGGGAGTGGGAGGTGGATTTTTATTTATTTATTTATTTCCCCCCTGAAACCCTGCCTTACATAAAGGATTTCCCTTTATGCTGCTGGTCCTGTTGCACCCAGCCCGACCTGGGTCAGGAAACTCACTGCTGGTCTTGGAAAAAATCTTCCCCTCATCTCCAGTTGCAACACGAGCCGAGGCAGCAACGGGAAGCTCGATCCCTTACAAGGGGGCAAAATAAAGCAAAAAGGGTGAGGAGGACGAGCAGAAGCGCGGGGTGAGCATGACACTCTGCACGGCGCAGGTGGCCGCGTGTGCGGTGGAGGTGGCCCGCGCTGGCTCTGCCGGGCACATTCCTCCCCTCGCCTCCCTCCCTCCCGCGTAATGGGCAGCCTCGGAGCAAGATTGGCTGTGGCCGAGTCAGCCCATGTCTTGCTAGGAGGAAACTTGAGCCCCGCCAAGCCCAAATGTCAGCGGCGGCTGAGTCAGAGCAGAGCGCGGCTGCCAGCGCTGCTGCTCCGCGGTCCCCACGCGCCTCCCGGGGCGGCCTGCGAGGAGCTGACGTGGAGCTGGTGGYGTGAGTGGGAACCTGGCAGCTGACACGATAGTGTAAAAAAACAAGGATGAATTTCTTCCTTTTACTACGGCTCCYGCTGTGCTCTCCGTGCAGTGTGTGATCTTGGTGAAGGCAAAGTGTTCGCTTGTGAGGGTTGTAGTGAGGGGTTTTTGCAGTGTGAGGCTCCAGCAATAAAAACGGGGGCTCTTTTCCAGGACTTCTCATTTCCAGGTGTTAACCCTGCAGCCTCTGCAAATGTCTGAATGTCTTCTGGTCACGCTTATGGGCCTGGGAAGGCTTTCCTAGGAACTGCACGCTCAATTTGAATTGCGTTTTGGTGCATCCCGTAGATCCCGATCCGCCTCAGCCTGGCTGTGCTCTGAGGGGTGATGCATACAGTGCACCCACCAACAGGTTTGCCCAGCTAAGGATGAGGGTCATGCAGTTACGCTGGGCTCTGGTCTGGCTTGTTGAGCYTCTCTCTGCTCTGTGCACACATGCACGCAAACCATGTGCGTTGGTAGGTTTGCTGGTTGCTCACAGGACAGAGCCTCCAAAATGAGAAGTGCCCTCAACCTGGAGAACTCTGAGGTCCTGCACCAGGTAGAGGGTGGTAGTGGTGAGGATGGTTGCTTTCTGGTGCCTCTCAACCCCTGTGGTTCTGTTGGGAATTTAACTCAAGTTTCCTGCTTTTGAACTTGAGATGCTTCGTTGAAGGCCACTTTTGGAAGCTACTTCTGTAAAGAGATGCTGAGAGCTGGGGTGCTGGAGCCTGCATGGGGCTGGCAGAGAAGGGAAGCTGGAAAGCAATCTGAAGGCTGGTGGTGTTAAACAGCGAGAGTAACACGAGTGGTTAATCTCTGCAGAGCCATCAGGAACGTAACCTCCTCGCCCTTTCCGTGTTTGCCTTCCCTCCGGAGTAACAGGAACCCAGCGCGCGCTGTCCCAAGGCTGCTGCYTTGGTGCCATGGAGCAGGCTGGAGTGTCCCTGCAGGCTCACCACGGCCAGCAGTGGCAGGCACCGACCTCTGAACTAGGCACAAATACATAGGATAACATGCACAAATATATAGAATAACATGCACAGCTTGTGGCCTGTCTTCCGGAAGTTTGGATCTTGCTATGCATGGAGTAGGCTTTCAATCACCACAGCTGAAAAATATTAAAAAACACTTGATATGTTGTCACAGGTGAAACTTTGGAAATAGGTAATTCTAGAATTAAGAGTCAGCTTTCTGGAAGCTATTCTGGTGTTATGTCTTACTTCCATGTAATCTTATATTCCAATGTTTTGTTTGCTTGCTACACACCATTCTAATGGAGTTGGTTTATTGGGGACTTGTCTTTGGTTTTTAAACCTGCCAACGTGGAGCATCAGCTCTAATCCGGCAGTTATGTGACACCTTCTGAATTCTGGGGCTGAATTTTGGGGGCTGAATTCTGGGGCTTCACCATGAACTTCCACAAAGGTTTTCAACTGGCAGCAGCACCAAATACGTATCTGTACTTGGCCTCCAGCTGTAAGGACAGCTGTGACATCTTTCTGACCTGCTGCTCTTGCCTTCAGTGTCTGTTTATTCAAAGGAGGTGGTGATGGGTGACAGCTAAGGGAGCTGTTACACAGGAAAGTGTTGCAACTGGCAGTGTCAACAACGCGCTGTTTCTGGAAAAGAAAGTACAAGCTGCTTGCACTGGGCTGCCAAGTGCTGCGTGATGGTTCCTTATTTCGAGGAAATCAATAGGAAATAAAATAACTTTTGCCGTGGCACTTCCAAAAAAGATTTAGTTAAAAAAAATAGGAATGATATGAAAGATATCAAAGAAAAAATCTAGTTTCTAAGTAATTTRCTTGATAAATTACTTTATCAGGTTTATTTAATTTACTTTATCAAGTCCTTAATAGCTTTCATATGTGTTTTTGAGTAGTACATAGTATGTGGGCGACCATTAATTATTGGCGGGTGTAGTTTTTTTGAGTAGAAGGGATTCACTGCTAATAAATGGGAAAGCAAGAAGGGACATAACCCCTTTTCCATAGATGTTCCTCTGGGAACTCTGCAAGGTTAATGCTGCTCCTGGTTAGGCTCCCTTGGCCAATGTACCTCTGCTCTTGGGTGGTGCGTGGGAGAAGATCTCCTCACTGTGAACAGTGCTAATGGGGGAGCAGTAATGAGGTCTGTGATAGTATCAAGAAATTAATATTTTAATGGGGAAGGGAAGAGAGAGGAATAAATCCAACTTTGACACCCAAAGACAACTTAGCTTAACTTGTGTGTAAGAGCAAGGAGCCAAGTCATCTGCCTAGTAGTGCTCTTCAAATCAAGTACTTGAGTGAAAGAGACTATGGTGAAAAAAAGTGGAGGGAAAGGAAACATCTTGGAAATTATTGGAAAGAAAGGCAGAAGAGAAGCTGACTCTGTTCTTAAGTCATAGAAGGACCAGGGCTGCAAATCTGCAAAGAAAAATCTSTACCAGCCAAGTTAATGAGGTTAATGTCTGGAAGACACCTGAGTGTAAAAACCTGAGGGGTGACCTTTCAGGTGTGTATTGCAGAGAGACAGAGGGAAGCTCAAGAGAGCAGCTTTGTCACAGACACTTTGACAAGATACGAAGGATCACAGAACAGTTGAGATTGGAAGGGACCTCTAGAGATCATCCARTCYAACCCCCTGTTCCAGCAGGGACAACCAGAACATGGGGCACAGGGTCACGTCCAGATTCCTGTGACCAAGTCTAGAGTTAGAACAAGAACACTCAGGCTGCCCAATGCTTAGATACGGATCAGTAGACGCAGTTTAGTGGTGAGGGTAGGAAAGCATTAGAGAATTATGTCAATGGGGTAGCAATTTAAAAGCAGATATGGTGATGTGTTCATTATTTTCCTTGGGTTTTGCAGGGCAATGTGCTCTGGCAATGAAGGAACTGAGAGGGGAGGTAGAAGGTGAACCCAGACATCCCTTAGCATCTGTGTAAGAGGCCACCTGAGTTTTATATCTCTTAAGACTGGGATCTAGACCTTTCTGTTCCTGCTATCTGTAGTCTATTGCAAAGTGTGCATCAAGCTCTTGGAAATGGGTGATTGTTTTCAYATAGGAGCTTAAGAACTAGCCAATGTTGGGGCAGAATCTGCTGTCTATCCAAGACCAACATCCATCTGTGATAGCCTCTAGTCTCGGATAGCTGCATTTATGGATGTATCCAGCCATTTCCTAGGAGGAGTCAGGGGCTAATGCTTTTTGCATGTACTCATAGTTTTAAGATGCATTTGGTCTTGCCAAATGCTTTGTCAGTCTTGATCCTATCTCGGGCTAGCATGGCATGTGAAGGAAGCCTGGGCATGGGCTATGACTTGCACCTACTCTACCTCGCACCAGTTGAACCTGCTGGTCCAACCTGCCTGCGGGCCAGTTGAAGAGAGGCAGAGGAACATTCCCAGAAAAGGCAATGCAAATCTCCACGGTGCTGATATTGCAATGCAGGAGCTGCAGGCTAGAGCAGGAGCCTCCTCTTTGGCAGTTAAAAATGCCAGTGCTGTTAATGTTCTCCTGTTAACAAGTGCTGATGTGGAGCCTAAACAGTGATCAATGGACACATGCAGACCGTGAGATATCTCTGACTTGTTTGCAATTTATCTATACGTATTTCTGCTCACAAGGATTACAAGTAATAGATATAAGGAAAATCTAGTTGTCTAGAGAAGTTGTACAGCCTCTATCTTTGAAGATACTCAAGACCCAACTTTATGATAAAGTCCTGAGCAAGCTGACCTGGCTCCGTAGTTGACCCTGCTTAGAGCAGGGGTTGGACTGGAGACCTTCCTTATGATCAAGTGTTAAGTCTGCCAGACAAGCTCAGTAACTAGTCCTGGGCCTGTCCCTGGTGAAAAGCTCTCTTCTGAATTATATGTTTCAGAAACCTGTTTTTACACTTCCTGTATGTCATTCAGTAGAAAAGAAACCTGTATATTCTTGCTGTAGTTTTGTCTTGAGACAGACTTTGATGTCTGAGAAAATCTGAAATTTGCTTGGAAGTTTTCCTGCAGTCAAGATATTTTTAAGGATTTGCCACCAGAAATGCTATGCGAAGTCTTGCTTGCATTGGGTTTTCCCCATCTCGCAAAWAATTACGGGATCTAAACTCAGAGATCTCTGTCCAAAAGTCCCAGGGCTTTTCTGCCCAAGATTTTTCTGACGCTCCTAGGACCTTTAGGGTCTCTTGGGCCCTTTAATGCTCTCAGTTTAGGATATAATAGACATCGATCTCATTGAAAATGTGCCCCTTCTCTAGGCCTGTGTGCAAGATTTGAGTTCCTCTGCAGATACCTGGTGTTGTATTTCTTTCAGTCAAGAAAGCAAGTTATAGTAAGGCCTGTGACTGTAAAAGAGGGACTGATCTGCTTGATCCACAAGATCAAAAAAGAAAAACACTTTGTACAGGGCCCTGGGTGCCCTTTGGCCTCTGATCCTCCTCCCCCTCTGCCTCCTCCTCTTCCTTTTTTCCCTCTTTTGTTCTCCTCTTTGTAGACTTTCAGCCTTAGCATTTGTTCCCAAGAGGAATAACAACCATGTGCAGTGGGACACGGGATGCATGGAACAAAAGCCCTGCCTGCTTTTCCTTCTGATGGCTCCACTCAGCCAGTGATCCATTGCAGAGCTCCCTTCCTGAGTGTACTGAGAGGTTTCTGTCTTTCTTGACAGTCAAACTTTGATATTTTTTTTTTGTGTGTGTGTATATATTCTTTTTATATATCCTATTTATTTTTTCCTGTTTATCAATAAGGTTGACCAAACCATGGGACAGGTCCTGAGCTGCAGGTAACTTTGTTCTAGGAAGGGTCAGGAAAGCCCTGCCCTTGGGTACGTGAAGCCTCCTAAGTAGCAGACAATGTCTCCAAAAGATTATTTTTATCATTGATGAGGAAGAATCAAGTGAATGAGGCCTTAGGAATGATGGGGAGAGCAATAGTGCTGCCATCTGCAAGTCACTGCCTCTTTCTGAGATGTTTCCCAGTCCTTCATGTATCCGAAACAGTGTCACTGTGCTGTGGAAAGAGTGAGGGACAAAGGGACATCAGGAAAGCAAGTGCGAGGAGCAACAAGATTTACTAGGTGTGGACTTGTTGCTAACATGTGCTATGGGATGTTATGTCATGTTGAGATCCCTGAGCCAGCTCTAGTGGGTGATAATCTAGTGTTGAGAAGAGAGGACACTGAAGTGCCCCCAGCAAAGGAGGAAAGGGAGTTTTAGCCCTCGGAAACATCCCATGTCCAAGCGTTTCACTCCAGGCAGCGGGATTGCCCTGCTGGGAGGCTGTGATGGAGGAAAGCAGCTCGCTCTGGCACAAGCACGCATGTGGATTCGCTCCGGCTCTTGCTGCTTGAAGATGCCTACCTGCCAACAGTGCAAGAACACCAACCTCTACGTATGTCACTGTAAGTAACTCAACAAAGAATGCTATATTGTGGCTAATTCTCTGTTTGCTCAGCCCTGAAATGCTGCTGAGGAAGAGCCTGGCCTCACCAGGGAGAGGTCACGACTACAAAGCAGCGGCGGCTGCTGGGAAGAAGTGGCACCATGGGGTCTTCTGAGTGCTGYAGGATCAATGGCCTGGTCCCTCGGTGCTTCCCACGCTCCATTTGCTGCATTCCTGAAGGAAATGTGGTAGAAGAGCCCATGGTCTGAAGCAGTGGTGACGTGAGCAGAGCTCCCCAGGGTCACCTGCTGCTTCCTGATGAACAGGGTGTGGAGAAAGTGCTCTCAGAAGGAGGCCTGTTTAATAGGGGAATTATGCCTGTAGTTGCTGTGCAAGGATGTCTCCATCTTGCAGGTGGTAGACTCCAAAAACACTTAGAGAAAATTACTGCAGTTAATGCAGATAGGGAAACTGAGGCTCGGAGCGTTGGTCCTTGCTCAAAGTGAGGAAGCAACTTGGTGCTRGAGATGGAGACCAGCTTTCCAGTTGTCCTGCCCCCACCTAAGATGGGATTTAGATGAAGTTTGGGCTCTAAAACTCACGTTTAACTCTCCCTAAGCTCCTGTTCAGTGGCTACCTGATGCTGGAGGTGCCTTGACCTACCGAGGATTTGTATTCTGCAGATCCGAGATCATCTGGAGTGGGACCTGGGAGTGGGACAGTTGGGCTCCTGCTGGCATCTTTCCCCTGGATCTTGGGGCAGTCCTGCTGGAGTAAGAGGAGGGGATCGTTTGGCCATCCAAGTCCCCGTGAACCATTGACCCCATTCAAGTGGGGACCTTCTGGATCACGGTGTTAGGATTTAGACCACACCTTCTAAAAGGCCAACTGGACTCATCATTTGGTTTTCAAGTCCATGCGGGGATAGGGTCCTGTCTTTGGGCTGGGTCTGCAGGGAGCTTCAGAGCCTGGCCTTGAGCTAAACCTGGTGGAAATCTCAGCGCTCCCCGGGCTGAACCTGAACTGAAAATGCATTTTCTCCCCTTGTTTTTTATAGGCTTGCTCAAATTTTATTGCAAATGTAATCACTGGAAAACAGCAGTCATCAAAGCCTCTTGGAGCATGTGGTGGCTATTCAGAGAGGGGTGGGAGTCAGCTGCACCTGTGGGGCATACAAGTGTAAGGGTCATGCAGCAACGGGGCTGAAACTGGAGATAAGGAGGCAGCTCCTACCTGTAGTAGATAAGAATTCCCTCAAAGCTGCTCTCTTTTGGATATAATACAGTTAACTGAAGGCTAGGAGAAAAATTTTCAGTACTTCAATACTTTAACTTTGGGAGTTTTAAGAAGTATCTTCATGTTCCCCTGTGTTTCTAATTACAATTTTTCTTAATTTTGCTCTAAGATGGCTGTAGCCCTTCTGCGAGCATCCTGATTCCCCTCAAAGTTGCCCAAAACTGACCATCCTGAATCAAGAGAGGCGCAGGGCCAGGCTCCATCGGTCCTGCACTCCAGATGCTCCATAAAGCAGAAGATCTGTATGTCCTGCTCTCCTAACAACGAAACCATCTGTATCTGTCTCACTTAGCTGGATCGTTATTTCTAAATTGGATCCTGGGGAATGGAAAAACTTGTCGTCTAATAAAGCAGCAGGCCTGGAGGAGCGAGTTGGCAGCTGCGGGAGGGACCGTGTCCAGCGCGCATCATGTTCTGGCATGTCCAGCGCAGGGTTTCTAGCTTCCTTGGATGATTTCCCAAGACACCAGCTCCTTATGAAGAAACCAAAGCCTCTTTTGTAGCGTGTAATTCCACAACGACCTCTCTGAAGTGAGCTGGGGTGAGGCGGCAGCCCCGCTTCACTCCAGGCTGTTGTTTTTCCCTCCAGAAAAGATGAAGTTGGGGATAGTTTTCTGTGGTACAGTTGAATCCAGCTTGTGAAATTCACTTGCAGGTAAATCACCAAATCAAAGCCATAAAAGGGAGTTAGTGAATGCAGATATTAGGGCTGAATTGCATTCAAGCTGGCAATCAAAAGTGAGATTATCTTTTAAGAGAGAAATATGGATAGTGCCCATCAGTGGTGCCCAGTGATAAGACAAGAGGCAACAGGCACAAACTGAAGATCTGCCTTGAACGTAACAAAACCCTTCACTGTGAGGATGACTGTGCCCTGGAGCAGGTTCCTCAGAGAACTTTTGGGTCTCCATCCTTCAAGGTGTTCAAAACACGTCTGGATACAGTCCTGGGCACAGTGCCCTTGCACAAGGGCTTGAGCTAGGTGATAGCCTGAGGTCCCTTCCCACCTCAACCCTCCAGTGAGTCTCTGAATGTTTCTTCTGAGCATATGTGAAGCCTGCGACGTGGTGCTTGTTCTCTTGCTAGCTTTGCTTTGTCCACAGCTTCCTCACGTAGCAGCTTCTACGATGTTAAGGAAATGGTTAAACTTCTGGTTTCTTCCCCATATCCTGTGCTGGGGGACTGTGGTGAGCAGAGGACGCTGCCCGAGTTCAAGTCCAAGACACGTGTGCGAGGCAGAGCACAGCAATGACCCCGGCATCATCCTCTGGAAGCCACGCGAGGATGACGGGGGTCGCAACAATCTGTGCACGTGTCGGAAGTCCAGGGGATTGGATGGTGAAACGAGAGCAGCGTCATCCTTGAGGACAGGATGACCGAATGAGTACGTTTATTTTGATCACAAACTATTCCTTTCCCTGGTGTCCTAACGGATGAGTCCTGCTAGTGGTCTGTGGCAATTCATGATTTTATTCATGAGTAAGACGCAGAAATGCGTGTGTGTCTTGCCCCCGCAATGAGATCTGGATTTCTTTTGTTTTGGTTTTGACATTTGCAGAATGAAGGGGGTGCTTGCAAAGGATGTAAGTGAGGAATTTGGGATTGCAGTCTGACCTGGTGACAGCTCACTGGGAAACTGGCTGTGTCGTGCAAATTCATCCCGGAAAAATCCCTGTGCGATATCAAACCTGTCAYATGTTCAGAATGAGTGGGACAGCGGCCAGAGCAGGGGGCAGAGAGGAGACTCCTCTTCCTTCTCCATCTGTCCTTGGGACTTTCCACTTCTCTCTGACCTTTGGTACTGGCTTCCTTCTATTGCTGGCTGCAAAGAAGGGAAGAAAAAAGCCCCCAGCAGAGATGTCTGCTCTGGGAAAAAACATATCAGTAACTGAGTGATCATTGTGACACAGCAGGCTCGCGAGGGCTTTTGAGAGGCGTGGAAAAAGCAGTGTCCGATTTGAAGGAATGTTCTCCAGGCTTCAGCAGCGGTTTAGACGTGGCCTTCCAGCACACCTGGAATAGATAGTGAGAAGGGCAAAAAAGGAGTATAAAAATGAGAGATACCTGACAGCGTGACAGGGGGGATCTTACTTGGGAATGCCTTGGGGATGTGGAGTTGGCCCAGCCATGGGGAGGGTGTTCACAAGTGCATTTGTCTTTCATGGGTCTGTGTGGGTGTGATTTTTCTAGCAAGGTGGTGTAGAAAGAGCTTGCCCCGAGTTGGTTAATATCTCAGCAGAAGGCAAAAGCATGCAAGGGAGCTGTACAGAGGAGCAGGAGAAAATTTCAAGCCCATTATTAACATAAATTAGTGCACTGCATAGACATGATACTCGCCCCCAAAAAAATGGAGCTTCAGACTTTATTAGTTTTTTTTAGTGTCTGATTTGAGTGCATGTAGACCTGCGCCAGGGCATGGTGTCCATCCAATGGGCTTCTATTTTAAGCCATGAGTTAGTGTGAGCTCCCTTGGTAGTTAGTACCTTCTCTAGCAGCTGACGTTGGGACCCACGGCTTCGGGTTGACACCGCGGGGAAGTTGGCTGTTTCCTGATCGCCTTTTTGTTTTACTTTTTATTCTCTCTCACCTTTCAGTCACCTCCTGTCTTGGCAAACGGGGAGATGATGTGGCAGGGGTTTCCCCTTTGCAAAGTATTCCTCTTTATGAGGAAAAAGGTGCCATCCGCTGAGCTAAGAAATTCTTGTTGTTGTTCTTTTGGAGGAGTTATTTTGTCAAGGCCATAAGGTGCATGAGGGGGGGCAGTGTCTCTTCCCACCCTCCTCTCCTTTCCTTCCCTTCCCTTGTGCCACCTCCTCCCTGCACTTCCATCCCTCCACCCTCCCGCATCTTCTTCCTCCATCAAACCTGCCTCTTGACACAACCAAATTCCAGTTTCACACTCTTCTCAAGTCTCCGTCTGCTCCATGACTTGCATGTGTGAACCTGCCCCAGGAGAGGCAGGAGAGCAAGAACGTGAGAGATCTTTGCACAATCCAGCAATTTGGTATATTTTAATATTTCAGGAACTAAGGCTCACCTTAAATTCCCAGTTGTCCTTATGAATCACTTGCAAAATCCCCATCTCGGCTCTGGAAATATTTCTAAAATTCATTCATCTTTTTCCACGCTCCCTTTATCTCTAACTCTTCTCTCCAGGTCAGGCCCTGGCTCTTAAGTGGGATCTGATRCTTAAAGGAAATTCAAACCAGATTGAGGCTTTTCATCAAATTCTTTAAGTGCACCATGGCAAATCTGGAAGTTTAATAGGCTGGAGGAAAAAAAAAAAAATAACCTTTTCTTTTTTCCCCCCAAACCTTGCAGATAGTCTTACTCTGTAAAATATGTTGGCTGTAAAAGTAACAACTGTTCCCATGCAAGGAGGCATTTCTGCTGGAGTTCCAGCATTTTGGGGCTGAGTATTTGTTGCAAGGCCTCTGGGCAATGAATGAGYGATTTTTTTTGGAGCACGTGACGCCCCTTTACCAATATCTGGGGTTACTGCAAGTCAGTGAACTTGCAGTAGTGACTAGGTAACACCTCAGCCCTGCTCTTCCAATAGGAAAAGCACTTTTACGGGGCGAAATCAGGAGAGTTTGTCGACCAATGAGCACTTAATCTCCTTATGAGTCACATTCATAAAGAGTTTCACCTTTGCAGTCTGGCAGCTTCTGGGAGATGATGAAACCCACATAAAAGGCTGGTATTAAAACAGGGCCTCTAGTTTTACGCTCGCCCGGCRCGGTGCAAACGGGAGCAGGGAGCCGCGTGGCTGCACACGCGGGGCCGGCTGCAGCGCGAGGCCGCAGTCGCTCCGCGGCATCCGCCTACCTGGAGCCCTGCCACATGGCACGAGCAATTCACCTTGCTTTGAGGTTAAGGCACTTTCCATCTTGGGAAGCCTTCTGGTGGAGAAAATGTTTCTTATTTTCTGCTAAAAAGCTGCCCCATCTGCTGGCATCCCTCATGTCTGTCTCCTCTTACCACCCGCCTTGCCCTGAGCGTGTGGGGTAAGAACAGGACCCGGCCACCAAGCCCCTGGTTTAGGTGCACTTCAGATGTGATTTTGTTGTTGCAGCAGCAGTTGCCCCGCAGAGCCCAAGGGTGACGATGAGGGGGTAGGAAAGGGGGCAAATTAAGGAGGAGCGACCTGCTCAAGTGGGGTCCAAAGGGGCTTAACAAGAGAAATGGCCCTCTGGTTAAAACAGCGTTTAGGTAAAACAGAGGTGCTGTGAGCGGCTTTGCTGCTTCCCTGGCTCTTGGATACCTCTCTTCTCTGCCTACAAAAGACATTTTCCCCTTGATCCGACCATAACCACCTGCTTCCACTCTCCCTGTGAGCTAACATCCCCTGGGGCCCAGTGCTGCAGCGGGGGAGCAGGAGCAAAATGCACTGGGTTTCAAGCTGTGACTGGAACCCATCCCATCCAAGGTGTCATATTCCTACCTAAATGCACTCCGAGATCTTTCAGCCAGGTAAATAATCTGAGAGTGGCTTCAGCAACCAGGCCCAGACTGATTTCAGCATTTCTACAAGCAAATTCTCTTCCAGTATTTTGGAATATTTTTTTTTCTTCCCCCTTGCTATTATTGAGGACTTGAAAGATCTCTTCAACCTCTTCTCTAATCCTATGTTATCCTGGGCTTTACCGACACCGAATTAAGTCATTTCCCATAAAACAGGCACATTGAAAAGGATGTTCTCATTCCTTTGGCAACCTACTTGAGAAACAAAGTGCATCTGGTCTCAGCCTTCCTGACTCGCTCATTCATATGGAAAGGAGCTAGAAAACATTGAGATCTACCTTACAGGGAGAAGTGGTAGCAACAGTTGTTCCCCACTGTGCTTGAAAGCGTGGTTCAGTCCTGCTCATCCTGCATGAGGGCAGTCTGATCTGGGAGCCTTCACCACCCCCAGCCAAATAATTCCGTGGAAGAGGCCAAACTGGTCAATCATGACAGTTCCTCAGTCATGTCGTGGTCTGCATCAAAGTGCATAATGTAGCCAGCTTTGCTGCGTACTGCAAGGGCCTAGAAAACCCTCTAATTACAGTATTTGCATGGCAGGGCTGGGAGCTGGGCTGCTTGTGAGCAGCTCCGGGTGCAGCACCACAGGCACCGCTGCAAGGGCGTGCGGAGGGCAGCCCAAATCCGAGGGAGCCGAGGAGGAAGCAGCCAGGTGGCTGGAAGTGCCCGGGAGTGTTTGCCTGGAACCTGTGCAGCTGGGACATTTCTATAACCTCGTTGCTGCCACCTTGTCCCAGTGTCAATCATGTTCCACATGTGTTCTGGATGAGGGGGCTCCAGCCTGGAAGAACCYGGGTCTCCCTTGCAGGGCTCAGCGGGAAGAGCTGTAGCCCCAGGCCCACCAGCGGTAACAGGAGGGATCTCTGCAGAGAAAACCCTATTCCACCACCCGAAGAAGTGCTGGAAGCGCTCCCGTCACCCAAGGGTGCCCAAGGCAGCTGTCACGTGGCCCAGGGCCTGCGCCCAACCTCCCCATTGGTTGCACATGGTTCAAAAGCCATAAACCACCCTGATCAAGGCTTTAGCTTAGTTGAACACAGATCACAGGGCTTTGGCCGCCAGGTTACTGGTGTTTGCGCAAGAAGGGCGATACTGGAATTTGACAGGCCATAAAAGTGCCAGGTGCCGCTAAAGAAAATCCTGTCCTACAGGCTTAGGAGAATTCCTGGGCTTCCCTCTCCCTCTGCAGAGCAGCCGAGGGTTGGAAGAAATGCCTTCCACAGCACCAGTATTTAAAAGGAAACCCATCTATGAAAACTTTCTCTCAGCAAATTTGACATAGCTGTATTCGTTCTTTCAGCAAATTTACGCTCCCTTTGGCAGAAATGAATTTCTGACTTCAAGCGAAATTCCCTGGGTCTCATCATCTGAGAAGGTTTCAGCACTCCGACTCCGGAGAGGGATTTTCCAGGAATGAACTCAGCGGATGTGCCTCTGCYGCGCTTTCAACGCGGCCTGCGAGGCTTCTCGTTTCCTTGAAATGCTAGCTGGGGAATTTGGTTTCCTGCCATCCGCTGCTGCCGTTCAAAGAAACCCCCAGCAGTCTTATCAGCGAGACGTAAAAACSTCTGCTGAGCCCTCGTCCCGTGCCTGGATCAGTTGCTCTCGAATTTGGGAGGTTTGACTTTGGGGAGCATCAGATGTGTCCATCTTGCCTTTGCCTGGTCAGCAAATGTGTTTGTGCAAGATTAGCTCGTGTGGGCCAGTTAATTTTGCTTATTGAAGCTCACTGTTATCCTGCTTTAGTTTTGTTCTTCTCAGGCATCCTGCATCCTAAGTCTCAGCTTTCCTTTTTCTACTTTCCCCTCCAAGTGATCTCTGAATATCAACTGCTCTCCTATGGAGAGGCACGTTCCTCCCCTGCACTGATGTGTTTTGGGGCCTCATCCTGCACCCCATCCTCACAACAAGCAGTTTGCAAGGACAGCACAARTCAGACGTGAGATAGGAGGAAGTAGACGCTGTAATCTGGCCCAGCAATGAAATAATCCATTTTAATGGTCTACCTTAAAATTATTCCTTTGTCTGTTTAATGTCCCTTCACCTTAATCCTCAAACAGCGTAGCATCAAGAGC